CGTTGTTTTAATTTCGTTGGCCGAAATTGAACGAGACTCCGCTTTAAAGGAAGATTTTGTTTTGGGATTGATTCTTTGATAGAATCTCATAATATAATATATAACTCTCAAAGCCCGTGACAAATAAGAAAATCGATCGAGAATGTCGTGAAAGTCTAGCTTTGTTATCCTGTGGGCAACAAATGTTGACCACAAATACGGAGGTTTTCGAATCCANCTAGCTTTGTTATCCTGTGGGCAACAAATGTTGACCACGAACACGGAGGTTTTCGAATCCAAGCTAAAACTATCGTTGAATCCGTCCACAAATTCACCTTCAAATGAGCAAGGCTAAGGTTTTCAACGACAGTTTCAATTGTTTCGGCCAGTAATACTGCACCACACAACTCCAATCGGGGCAAAGATATTGTTTTGACTGGCGCTACCCTTGTTTTTGCCATAAGTAGGTTGACGAAACCTTTATCCTCAGTCTGAACCCTTAGATAAACTGTCGCCGCGTATGGCTTTTCCGAAGCATCGCTAAAACCATGTATTTCCACATTATCGGTTTGCGTGAAATATACCCATCTTGGTATGCGGATGTTGTTTAATTCCGCGTAATCCCAGGTATTTGGAGATACGGTTTCGTCGCAACCTGTTCCTTCTAACCAAATATTCTGCATAATGATCTTGGCGACGATTATAAGCGGTGCAAGCCAACCCAGTGGATCGAACAGTTTGGCGATGGCTGAAAGTATTGCCCTCTTTGTAATAATGTTGCTATTTTCAATTGGTTTCGCTATAAAGTAGAAGTAATCGGAATGGTCGTTCCATCTGATGCCCAAAGCCTTTACTGCACTGGTATCTTCAAACTCTAAGAAATCTTCACTAAGTAAATGACCTTTTGGTATTCCTTGAAGTATTTTGCTAGAGTTTGAAGTCCATTTTCGTAATGGAAACCCGGCTGAATTTAGCACCTGTGATATCTCTTCTCGAGCTCTTATCGCAGCTTCGACGCTATGTCCCCCGGCGAGTACGTCGTCAACATACATACATTTTCGCAAAATGTCAGATGCGATTGGATGAGAGCTCTCCACATCATCAGCAAGCTGGTGTAATGTCCTTATCGCAAGGTAAGGAGCACAGTTTATGCCAAAAGTCACGGTTTTTAATTAGTACAAACTGATCGGATCTTTTGGGCAACTACGGAAAACTATTCGCTGATACTTTGTTTGTAGTATAAGAATGGGTAAATCGGCCTGAAGTACTGGGCCTGGAAGAAGGACATCATTCAAACTCATGCCATTAGCGGTTGGGCATGATGCGTTGAATACAACCCTGACCTTTGTAGTTGTGCTTTCTTCCTTTAAAACGGCGTGGTGAGGTAAAATTAGCAGTCCGTTGAATCTGGTGAAATGTGTTTATTAATTTTTGACATATGTGCTTGTGTCTCGTATTCAGATACAACCCGGTTGTACTCTGTTTGAAGGACAGGCTTTTTCACTAGTCGCATCTCGTTCCGGTAGAACTGAGGGCATGCTCTTTTCAGCGAAGGTCCTAAGCACACATTTTTCGGAAAATCCCGTTTAAAAGGTAGAGACACAATGTATTTTCCATCTGTATTTCGTGTCGTAGTTGCTTTGAAGAGCTCTTCGCAGTATTTATCATCTTCGTTGATGCCTTTTTTCTTTGCAACATCCTCCAGCTCCCAAAATGCAGCTAGCTGCTTGTCCAACGAGACTTCATTAAAATACGATACGATATTGTTGGTTGGACTGACTGACTCCGCGCGACCAGTCAGTATCCAACCGGACACGGTCTCTTGCGCGAGAAGCGTATTTAATACGTTCTTCCTCATTCCGCTTAAAATTATTTGCAGGTAGATATCTCCTCCTAAGNGCGCGACCAGTCAGTATCCAACCGAACACGGTCTCTTGCGCGAGAAGCGTATTTAATACGTTCTTCCTCATTCCGCTTAAAATTATTTGCAGGTAGATATCTCCTCCTAAGATAAGGTCAACTGGCTCATTGACGAAGAATCTTTTGTCCGCCAAGACCAAGTCTGGGAACGATTGCCGCGTCATTGCGCTTATCTGACAAGTCGGAAGATCCCCGGTTAATTGTGGTAAAACCAGCACGTTTGCTTCTATATTAATTAACGCGTTTGTGGGTGACCCAAGTTAAATAGCACATACTTCTTTTACCTGCGCAGATACAGAGTTATTGATGCCCGAAACTTGGGCATGCAAGCGTTTTGATGGCAGGTTGATTCTCCGTTTGAGTCTCTCAGTAATGAACGAGCACTCAGAACCAGAATCTATAAGCGCTCTAGCCGAAAAATGTATACCATTATAGTGTATGTTTACGCGTGCTGTTCCTAACAAAACTCCTTTACTTGTATTTGCGTAACAAGAATTTACATTTGTAACCGATTTAATGTTTCCTTTTCCAGATTCGCGTCTTATTTGGAGTAGATTCTACGTTACCCGATGGATCAGTGGTTGCTGTTGGCTGAATTGGCATATGGTGCAACTTGTGATGTTTCGAATGACAAGTGCTGCAGTTAAATGAGCTGGTACATCTTGAGACTGCGTGCCCAGCAGATAGACAATTCAAGCAACTGCGAATGCTCTTCACGTAATCTACTCGCTTTGATAGGTTGTGTGCATTGCTGTTGCACATTTTACATGTTGCCTTTGCTACACTNAAACAATTCAAGCAACTGCGAATGCTCTTCACGTAATCTACTCGCTCCGTCGGCTTTAGACGCAAAAATCTGTCGCACTTTGATAGCTTGTGTACATTGCTGTTGCACATTTTACATGTTGCCTTTGCTACACTGGCTTGAAAGGCGCCAAGCTTTTTTGCAGGCGTCTCTGCAGAATTCCGAGAGCTTGGTGGTTTAGGTTTCGAAGCTATATCTCCCCTAAGACCTGTGATGGTTTGCAGTGTTTGAAACCGATTGGATAGGAATTTATCCATATCTACCCATTTGGAAATCTCAGTTTTATTTTCTATGGTTTGCTCCCATAGTGCCAGTGTCGTTTCTGGCAGTTTCGTTNTCTCAGTTTTATTTTCTATGGTTTGCTCCCATAGTGCCAGTGTCGTTTCTGGCAGTTGGGTCGAGCACAAATAAGTGAATATTGCATCCCAATTAGAAACGTAAATCTGATGACACTGAAGCGACGAGATGCAATTATTTATGTCGCGTTGCAGTTTCTTGATAGAGCTACCGCATTCACTCTCAACTGCGTTTAAATTAAACAATACCTTTAACTGAGCGTTGACGAGGATACGTTTATTTTCGTACCTGTCACAAAGATTTTTCCAGGCTGCACCAACGCCATCGTTGGTTAATGGGGATCTCTGCACTATTCCCTTGGCCTCCCCTTGAATCTTTTGCCGGAGGTGATACAGCTTCTCAACTGGGGTAAGGCGCTTATT